TACGACCGATGTATGACGAACGTCAGCCTTACTCCATAAGTTTATGAGGTATGCACATCATCATCGCTACATCGTACCAGCGTAATTAATCTGCATAAAATAGGAAGTTTATTAGTACGTGTACTTCATCGTCATCATAATCTTTCACTCATAATGGTGTGAGAAACAGGCATTTAGGTTAATATAGAGCAGATGATATTCTACCTCACATCCAGAAGACAGTACTAAAAGTGAAGTGAGCTACATTAAAACCGTCAAAAAGACATTGGATATATTCGATATTGGGTAAATTTGACCTTGTAGAACAGTTACTGAGAAGGCACTCTAATGCAGCTAAATTCAAAACCTTGAGCTGTAACGGAGTCAAAATCACTATGTGTGATGTTGCTAACTTGTTCTGTTTTCTTTCTGTTTCAGGGCGATCAAACACAAATGCTTTGGAAGCCGAAGAGCAAGCCCTGAGTGCTCTAAACCTACAAGATGACTCATAAGACCTTGATACTACCCCCACCCTCTTCCTGTAAGATCCCCCGCGTTTTTGATTTTGAAAATAAAGAGTGCCGTGACAACAGCCTTGTGTTCTCTCTTGGTGTGAGGTGTCGAATTAACCTTGTGTGTTGCGATTTTAGATTTCTTCGGCCTTTCACTGACTGCCGATTACGCGTGTTACAACTGGTGATGGAGGTGTCTAACGAAAAACTCAAATCAAACCCAGAGGAACCCCCAATACTGCCACCCAAGGCAACAACTCCCTCAAGTGCTCGACAACCACCGCTACTGGAAACGTCGTCTGAGTATTCAGTGTGGAAATTCAGAGTCGAAGCATACCTACGTAGAGTACCTGTTTCAGAACACTTCGACTACCTAGTATCGTTTTTAAGCGACGAAGCTGTAAAAAGAGTAACAGCATATGGATTCTCGATAAACAATTCTCTATCTAAAAACTGGAATATATTGGACGAGTGTTTTTCACTACCTGTAGACGCCCAGCAGGTGACGATTCAATTTCTATCACGTCACCAGAAAGCGGATGAGAATCCCCTTCAGTACCTGGACTCCCTACTACAACTTGCAGTCAAAGCATTTCCTGAGTTAGATATTGCCGGGCGAGAAGAGTTGGTACGCTCTCGTTTCGTAGAAGGACTGCTACATAACCCATTAAGGGAGCATTTACTTCGAACGCCACCAACAAATACTGTCGATTTGAAGAAGATTATTCTCCGATTTATTACAGCAGATAGGCTGTCCCGTCCATCAGCAGCCCAACAACATTCAGTGCTGACAGTGGACCAAACCGTAGACCCGAGTCATCTAGATTGTCTTCCGGCAGCCACAGCGGTCGCACGCATCCCCAGCCGGTCGGGTGGTCGTGGAGCCTCAAATCCAACTTGGAACAAACGACCACCTTATAACAATTACAGTAGTCGTCAAACGGATTGTATATATTGCAGACGGTTTGGTAAGAACGCGTGGAGATGTGGACATAACCGACCGCGAAAGCCAGGTGAGCCATACGTTTACTATTTATCTTCATGTCATGTTAAGCATATCAGCCCGATCACCCTTAAAGGTAGAGTACAAGGGGTGGTGATTAACATACTGCTAGACACTGGAGCTTCCGCATCCCTCGTCAAGGAAGCGCTATTAAAGAGACTGCACCATCAGGTCCAGCCGAAAAGTTGCACCTCAGCATTGATAACAGCTAGTGGGGACCCACTTAAAGTGTGTTATAAGACAGTATTAGACTTAACAATAGAAAAGTGTTCGGTTCGTCACGAGTTTTTAGTTTGCCCTACATTAACCTGGGACATGATACTGGGCGTAGACTTTATGTTAAAACACCACGTTTCTATATTTATGGATAAGGCAGAAGCAAAAATTGGCGAGGCTACGGTACACTTACACCAGTTAGCAGGGGCGCATAAGCCTATAGCTCACGTTGGAATTTCAGAGTTAGTACGTCAGGTGGAAAGCAACCAAATGATACAGGAAATTGATCGTCGGGCAACCGTGGCTGTGCTCCGACAGTTTAGTTCTGTGTTTGAGGAAAGCATTTCTGGAAACCGTACGAATACTGTGCAACACTCTATTGTCACAGGAGACCATATGCCCCTCCGGCAACCCCCTCGGAGAGTACCCATACACTACCGACCACAACTAGAGTCGATGATAAAGGATATGTTAGACAAAAAGATCATAGTCCCTTCATCATCCCCCTGGGCGTCCCCTATTGTTCTTGTGAAGAAGAAGGACTCCTCTCTCCGACTCTGTGTCGACTACCGACGCCTTAATGCCATAACTAAACGAGATTCCTTTCCACTTCCGCGAATTGATGCTACGCTGGACGCTCTAAACGGTGCTTGTTGGTTTTCCACCTTAGATCTAGCATCTGGGTACTGGCAAGTAGAAGTTCGACCGCAGGATAGAAAGAAAACTGCATTTATAGTACCAAATGGGTTATATGAATTCCAGGTTATGCCTTTCGGGCTAACGAACGCCCCGGCTACTTTCCAGCGACTGATGCAAACAGTGTTACAAGATATAGTGCCCCATAAATGTTTGATTTATCTTGATGATATTATCGTACACGGTAGTACACCCGAACAGCACAATGCTAACCTGAAAGCTGTCCTGCAACGTCTTAGACAACACAACCTAAAAGTAAAACCATCCAAATGCCGACTGCTACAGAAGGAAGTAGTATTCCTAGGACATCGTATCACCCCGGATGGCGTTTGTACAGATAATGAAAAGACGCGTGCCATTGTTACTTGGCCGCAACCAAAAACACCTGAAGACGTTCGCAGTTTCCTGGGTCTCGCGTCCTATTACAGACGTTTTGTTCGCGACTTTGCATCTTTGGCAGCACCTTTGCACAGGCTGACACATAAGGGACGAAAATTCTTATGGACCAACGAATGTCAACAGGCATTTGATATGTTAAAGGCACGGCTAACCTCACCACCTATATTAGCCTTTCCCGATACCTCAGCAGATGGAGGTCAGTTCATACTCGATACAGATGCTAGTTCTTCAGCTATCGGAGCGGTTCTTTCACAGGTAGGCCGAGATGGCCAGGAGAGAGTCATAGCTTACGCCAGCCGACGACTAGACAAGTGTGAAACACGGTATTCCACAACGCGTCGAGAAATGCTAGCATTAGTTAAATTCTTACAGCACTTCCGTCATTATCTACTGGGTAGACCTTTTCGCGTGCGCACGGATCACCGTGCATTACAGTGGCTTCGATCTTTTCGCGAACCAGAGGGACAAGTAGCACGCTGGCAGGAACGACTGCAAGAATTTGACTTCACATGCGAGTACCGTCCGGGAAATAGACATGCCAATGCAGATGCACTCTCTCGCCCCCCCTTGTCTACAGATACCGTTGCTGCAATTCTGAGTACGGCAACAGAGACTGACTGGCCCTCATTGCAAGCAGCAGATCCAGATTTGCAGATTATTTACCAAAGACAATTGCACGGGAACAATAGGCCGTCCATGAAGGAGTTAAGAGACCAAACCCTCGCCACGCGTCGGATTTGTAACAAATGGAGCAGTTTAAAGCTATATGGTAACACGTTATTCCTAATTAATGAGTCCAGACAACCCCTGCTTATAGTACCGCAAGTAAAGACACAGAGTATTGTAGAGCAAGTTCATCGTGAACTCGGCCATGCAGGAGAACGAAGAACTGAGCATGCTGTTCGACAGCGCTTTTGGTGGCCATCTATTCATGAAGATGTAACCGACTTCTGCAAAAATTGTAACACGTGCTGTCGTATAAAATCGCCCAAGCAAACACCACGCGCACCGTTAATGCCAATGAGAACGACTGGACCGCACCAGCGCGTTGGTATTGATATTATGGGACCATTGACGACGACGAAGAAAGGAAATCGCTACATATTAGTTATGGTAGACTATTTCACTAAATGGTGCGAAGCAGTACCCATTCCACAACAAGACGCCCTAACTGTCTCACGGGCTTTCATTGATCATTGGGTATCCCGTTATGGTGCCCCATTCTCACTCCACTCCGACCAAGGTCCGGCCTTCGAAAGTCATCTGATTGCTGAAATATGCAAGCTATTGGGGATACGGAAGACACATACTACCGCATATCATCCAGAAGGTAACGGCCTAGTTGAGAGGACAAATAGAACCATTAAAGCTATTTTACAATCGTTCGTCAGCAGATCGTCATCTGAGTTGTGGGACGAGGTGCTCCCTCAATGCATGCTAGCTTACCGAACATCGGTACATGGGTCTACGGGATTCTCACCTGCTGTCCTACTATTCGGGCATGAGCTACGCCTCCCGGTTGAGATTCAGTCGCCTTTACTACCGTACGAAGAACAGGAACATGTCCCGTACATCCGCACTCTCCGTAACCGCCTGGCCGATGCATACCGTTTAGTCAACGTCAACTCGCGCAGGGCTAGCGGCCATCAAAAAGATATGTATGATCGCCAAGTGCGAGGACCGGTGTATAAAGTTGGAGACCGTGTCTGGTTACGCCGCCCCATGACATCAACAGGAAGTTGCAGTAAATTTCACCAACCTTGGCATGGCCCCTTCGAAATCGTCCTCATCCGATCCCCCACGACGTTTGTGTTACGTAATCCGCAACGACCTCAGGACGATGTAATAACGGTGCACTACAATCAAATAAAGCCAGATCGAACAACCGTACCTGCTGATGCCCGATTCACAGACCCACCACCTGCTACCAGTTTTTATGAGATACCGGCTGAAGGAGGAGCAGCGTACCCTTGTCCGAGACCAGGCACTGAGGACAGTGCCTCATTGAGAGAGGGGGTGGTGTAACGGAGTCAAAATCACTATGTGTGATGTTGCTAACTTGTTCTGTTTTCTTTCTGTTTCAGGGCGATCAAACACAAATGCTTTGGAAGCCGAAGAGCAAGCCCTGAGTGCTCTAAACCTACAAGATGACTCATAAGACCTTGATACTACCCCCACCCTCTTCCTGTAAGATCCCCCGCGTTTTTGATTTTGAAAATAAAGAGTGCCGTGACAACAGCCTTGTGTTCTCTCTTGGTGTGAGGTGTCGAATTAACCTTGTGTGTTGCGATTTTAGATTTCTTCCGCCTTTCACTGACTGCCGATTACGCGTGTTACAGAGCGGATTCATAGTCAAGGTGCTATAATGGATTAAAACATTATCCAGTTGTCTCCTAGTTTTGGTTTTAATGTTGTTTTGATTCTAAGGTTGCCATTGTTAACTGTTGTCAATCGATCTAAGTGATAGATATTACTTCATTTTATGTACTTACCAAGTCGGCTCACCTCTCATTCTTTTTTCCCCATATATCTTCATAATCATGTAAATCACTATCTGCCTTCAGGTTTGGCGTAAGTTATCAGCAGCGAATAGGCGCTTCGAGTAATCCTAGCCTTCTAATCGAGTACGCCATTACCCCGATCTCCCACTTTAGGGTAATAAACTCTTAGGAAATGCAACTAATGACCACAAAATTACTGCAGATCTCAGATTTTCACCCAAAATTTCAATAATCTCCGCCGAAGAGCATGAATTTGTCAATACTTTTGGGGAAACCTCTAGTATTTTCTCAAAGTCGGGAGATTGTGATATCTACGGACTCAGCAGTTAGCGTATTTCACAGATAAACCAGTGTTCATGAACATAACACGTCCAGTTACTTCCCATGTGACAGAAAATATCTGACAATATCAAGCAATGGACCAACGATGCTTCCATACACCTAGGTTACTACTCTGGTGTATTCAGCGAGAAATATCAGTAAATAATGAATTTGTTTCCAAAGTCCTTAAGAAAATGTCAGATTTTCTTGAAGGACTCCAGGGAATTCACCTTTATCGCCTCATGTGGTAACGAATTCCAGATTTGACCACTTGCGAAGAGTGGGTAGGCCTTCAGTCCATTTCGCCATTTGTGCCTTTAGTTTCTGGATGTTTGTTAAGTCATTATTATTTTTCCGTCTTAGTTTCTTGGTGTATAGACCTAACGATCTCGGGTTCTAACAAAATTCGAACTAAAGACCATAGATTGGTTATATCCAACCTGGATAAGAAAACTTTTAAACCTAACCTAACCAGAAAGTCTGAACTTATCACCCCGGCAATCTAGGCTCATCGGCCAAAGTTTTTTGATTTAATATCAAGTTTTTGTTTTATGTTATGATTACCAGAATAATGCTTTGTGGTAGATATTACCTGTAATCCAATTAGCAACAACATAGAACTATTTACGTACTTACATCAGTTCAATTTGCCATACCGCATTAGCACAGAGAGGTGGAATTGTCAAATCAAGTCCCATAGTAGTAGAGGTAGTAGCGGTAATCGATAAAATTAGTGTTCGAAGATATGATTCGATAAGTATATCCCAGTGAATTAAATTTAAAGAGAAAAAAGGTGATGAATGGATGCATCACTGCTTCACTGCAAATGATTTTGAGCCATGTGATTGAAGTCCTCTAAGCATTGGTTACCATTTTCTGGCAGACCGGAACTTGGTAGTCTATACCTCAATCGAGTTGTCAGTGATTTGATGGATTTGTGTGTCATGTTTTGGTGTGGATCACTGATGCCTCTATGTAGTAACCTAGATGTCTTCAACGAGTAAAATAAATATTAGTAAATTATGATGAAATAGTTTCCCCTAATTTTTTTCCAGCCTACCCTTTTATAAGACATCATGGCTTGTCGAGATAGTCACTGATTGTGTTTGCGTAACATATGTCCCAACTACCTCAACTGATGAAGGTTCACTACTTCATCACTAGATTTTCCATCCTTACGTAGTACCTGTTTCCTAACAACAGCCTTACTTGCTCGGTGGTCCCAAGATATACGAACAATGCTCCTAGCACACCAATGATAAAATGCTAGCAACCTACGCATATCCTTTCTTCTTAGTGGCCATGTTTCAAACCTGTAAAGCAGGATGGAGCAAACTGCTACACAGTAAACTTGTCCTTTTGTTAACAGATGGATATCTCTGCTATGCTCTTAAGTGATGCAATTTGGCAAAGGCTAATCGAGCCTTCTGTATCCGCTCTGAGATTTCGTCAGATACTAGGCCGTCAGGACTAATATGACATCCAAGACGAGTGAAACAGTCAACACTCAGGTACTTCACTCCTTGTCAGTAGTTCAGGAACTAGTACAAGCCAATCCCGATGCAACAGTGTGCATCTGGGTGGAGAGAATCGCATTCAGAACATGCTAGCATTGTTGTTTAAGGTCATCAAATGACTGGACCTCGTCTGCGTCTTCACCAAATAGAACTATGTCATTGGCGTATTGTGAGTCAGGAAATGAATCTCTTGGTAGGAGATCGACTCGTGAAAAGTCAAACGATGAGTGTTGTCTCTAAAAGCATGTCGATGGTAAAGTTAAGTAAGAATGAAAATTGTGGACTACCTGAAGATGCGAACTAGGTGTCTTAAACAGCCAAATATATCGAATTTTTAGGACCACATTAATTAACTTGTAACCTTTATGTTGCAGTTTACGCCTAGAGCCGTTGCTGCATCATTAGGGATCCGAGCATACGTAAATAACTTCTCAAAACACTCGTGGTTGAAACTGATAACCTGCACGTTGTTTTTTGTCTAGAGTAGTCATATATAAAACCTTAAAAGTAATACATAACCAATTACTGCATTATAGCTCGATCAGATTTTCACAACAAACAACTCAGACTATTATGTCAGGGTAGTGGCTACGGTCAAGTGTATCTGTGTGTTACTAGAAAGCTTAGTAGCCAGCAGAAGGGAATAAGGATGTACTAGAGGCAACTGCATTGGTCCTTCCATTCTTGGACCATAAATGATCGTTTCTGTACGAAAATGTTCAATGAAAAATCTTGGATATGGCTGATTATAATACTCAAGTTTGTATAGTTTGACAAGTAATGTTACGTAATCTATCTGTCATAGTAAGGATTACATTGATTAAACTTTTTAAGTTAACACGTCATAATATTGCTTATGTCTAATATATTTTTCAAGTTGCTACGACTAAAACCAGTTAATTGCTCCTCTGCATAATCAGATCGGTAATTTTGATAGTCCTTGCTTCAGCTTATCGCTTTCTGTCTTAAATAAGCCAATATTTGCTGTGTAGTATCTACAAAGTTTATTATCTCTTCTTAAATATCATTGAGGAATTAATGTCTGAAATAAACCTCCAACTTCATAATTTTTATTAGAAATATATCCATTTTTAAATTCATAGTTTGACAAAAATTGGGTGCCAAGTGTGTAGAAGACATTGTTTGTGAAAATTATATTTGAAATAATCTCAGCGATTGAAATTGTTGGGTAATCCCAGTGTTTCGTCCAGTTATCTTGTCTGGGCTTCTTCAGGATATTAATAATATCCAATTTTTGACTCTGTTGTTTTAGATTCTATAATGACTCTAGAAGAATCTAGCAACTTTCATCAGTCACTACCACCAACAAATTTCAGTGGCAGTTATTTGGCTAACGCTAATCAAATTAGCAATCAATATCATCAAAACAATCAGAATCCTACAAATTATCCTCCGCTATTCCATCCTGCAGCCGTGGCAGCTGTTGCCGCCGCTGCAGCAGCAGCTGGTTACACACAACAGTTCAATTCAGGTGTTGTAAGTTTGATCTTTTATAGATCAGTGTATAATTTTCAGTTTGATTAATGAGGGGAATTATAACGTATTTTTATTTTTGAAGTCAGTCAGTCAGTCAGAACGAGGTTTCAAGAGACCAGGAATGACGTTTCGTGAACTCGCATCGTTTACATTAGCGGTGCAGACAGATAAGGGAATGTGAGTAGAGTTAGTTGTGGAGAGAAGAGAGGTATGTGTGGGTGTAGGAAGGATTTGATTTCGACCAGATTGGTCTCTCGTGCTGTTACGGGTATGAGGTAGGGGAGATGTGACATTTTTAGGGTCGACCTTTCCTAACCCTTCCTTCCTTGTGAGAAGGGAGCATCGCTGCAGATGCTGGTTGTCCGAGGGAAACACCTTACTACTGTCACACCCCTCTGCAGTCAGCAGTACGACTTCGCCCTCAGACTTTGAGTACCTGCTTTTACTCACATCGTTCTCCAGTCGATATGTCTGGCATGGTAGAACTTTCAGGAACATATGTTCCAGCCAGTATAGCTCGGTTGGGTCATCACGATAGTCAAGCCCGACCACCACGTCAAGGTAGCAGCTACGGTCGGGTTTGAAGTCAGTCTAGATTAGTAGTTATCGGAATGATGCAACCAAGTTGTAGAGCAGGAGTTCAATGTAAATATTTTTGTGCTTGAATTCGTGTGGCTTGGTTGAAATATAGAAATCTATGCTATGTGCTATGCCTTACGTAACGAAGTTGCTTTAATTGCGACTAGTCAGTAACGGGTTATTTTTAAAGGCCGACAAATAAAAACTAGGCATTACAAATGACACTAGCTAAATACAACAAGATTCTACACCTAACTTTAACAGTGTTCTTTAAGATTGATCTTTCAGCATGTAGATTGCTTGTAGGCAGTTATTTAACTGAGCTCTTTAACCGCACTACTGATCCCAAAAGTTTCATCAACCCTAACAAAACTTCACAAATTCCCAAAGCTCACTTAGGGTTTGCCAGTTTTCGCCACTTATAGCATGAGTGATATGTTTACCTGGTTATTGCCGTTAAGAGTAGAAGATGTTTGTAGGTTACTAGTATTCGATCATCGATGTCTCCGAAGCATTGCTCGTATACCGTGGGACAACCGAGTAAGCAATGCCGTCGTTAGGAAACGGGTGCTAGGTAAGGATGGCAGATCAATAGATGAAGTGGTGGAACTTCATCAGTTGAGGTGGTTGGGACATGTGTTACGTATGGCTAACCACCGACTTCCTCGACGAGCTATGTTTTATGGTGTACGAGTAGGTTGGAAGAAAGCTAGGTGCGGCCAGATCAAAACATGACACAAATCCATGAAGTGACTAACAAGTGGACTGAGTCATGTTAGCAGATGTAGGTTACCTGGTTGGGGTCCGCGAGACGAAAGTCACCAAATGGTTAAAGACCTTGCAGTGGCGCAAGTGCATCCATTCGTTGTGCTCTCTCAAATCCTAATCTTCTGGATTCGTCGGCACCTATACCTTTGTCTTTCTAACCTTATCTCGCTGAATTATACTTCTTGAATAATATCTTCAAACCCTAGTCTTCTTTATTACCATTAATACCTCTACTATCTTTATCACTATGGGATTTGATTCGACATTTGCGTCTCTGTGCTAATGTGGTATTACAACATGAACTTATGTACATACGTACGTGCAACTGACTGACTGATATTTTCTGAAGCACTCGTTATATGATATCCTGTCATATTACGTGTGTATATTGGAGTGAAATAAGTTCATTGACAATGATTTTCATGTCCAAGGGTAAGATCATACTGTTGAGGTTATTTAGGTAATGTTTCATAACGATAGCCAGCATCCGAAGCGGTACTGTCCTCTCACGAACCCAAGAAGGGCTTAGATAAGGTTGACATTATCTCAAAGATTTCTGGTGCCATCGGTTTAGTATAAATACGCATTGCTTGAACTTATGTAAACACATAATTATTATTACAAACGGGCACTCAAATATCTATGCACCATACAAATTAATGAATTTCTTAAGTGGGTAGTTTTCTTAGGCCACTTCCACGAGTCTTTGACTTTGAAGTCTAATCCACAGGGTGGTAGGACTACTTCAAACGATACAATCCCATGATAGTCGGTGACCAACAATAGGTTCATACTCTATTTGTTCCCTTGAGATCCTAAAGTTTATGTGCACCATTAGTTTTTAATCAGAGTTTCCCAAATCTTTTAACTCAGTCATTTATATTCATTAACTTGGTTCAAGCTTCAGACGTTTTCTTTTCGTTGTATGAGAGCGGGAGAACAGGCTCTTCTCATCCTTGACCTTATCAAGGCATTTGGGGTAATAAAAATACTAAAAAGGGATCGAATTATGCTCCTGGCTCTACTGTCAAGCTTTTATACCTATAATACCTTAAATTCTAATATCAGCTGTGTATTATTTATTGTAAAGGCCATCCCGCCTGGTTGACAAGCTAAAATTTTTTTGTTGCACATTTTTTTTTTATCATTTACAGATAAATCGTCCACTTAATTTAACAGCTAATCCTACCGGTCCCAATCCATATTTTTCTTCTGCAGACACAAGTAGAGCTTATTATGCTAGCTTTGCACTACAACAATCTGGATTATATCCTGGATCTCATACTTTCAATAATTTAGGAAATGTTAATATACCTCAAGATTTTTCATTTCCAAATTCCACTGCTGTCATTCCTCCATCTAGCACTGGAACAGGATTCTCTCCATGTTTATCAACTAGTACAACAGAGTCTGAAAATGGTTCCAAGTTGAAGAGAATTGTTGCTTCGGTTAAGAGTACCAAAACTTCCACTAATGGTACTCCTGGTAGTGGCAGTATAAAAATAAATGTAAAATCATCCGGTATTCGTGGTAGGAAATCAATTTCATCTGAAGAGTTGGCCAATCGTAAACGTCAAGAATTTAATGAACTTGTTAAAGCTCGTACTGAAAAACTTATGTCCGATGGTCCAATTGTAAATGTAAGTATTTTAATAAGTTCTCATTGATAAGCCTTTTTTTTGAACTACTACTGAGAAGACTGAGGCAGGCTCGATAGATTGTATTTGGTAAATTTACACTCTTAGTCAATTAAAAACGAAAACATTATATTGAACACTCTATTTGCACACCATCTTTGAGTCCTGACTTCCAGCGCTCCAGCCTTCTTCCATTCCTGCTGTTGCTTCCTTTACTTCCTGTCGGTACTCCATTTACTTCTTGCTTTTGCTCCATTCGCTTTCCATTTTCCTCTTCTGACCGTGAGAGTTCTTCTTTCATGTCCTTTTCTTGTACTACTTATATCGTTAGTATAAGTAGCACACACCACACTACTATGGTCAATGTTCTTAGAATTTTACATTCACACTTATACCATGATTTTGAATTTTACTAACGTACATTGTTGTCTTGCTATTTTGAGTTTAACATCAAATTAGTCATTTTCATGTGTCAAAAGTTTTTTTTTTGTTTATCGTGCTAAGTAACCTCGTTTCCGCGAGACGAAAGTCACCAGTGGTTAGAAACCTTGAACGACATGGCTCAAAATCATTTGCTATGGCGCAAGTGCATCCATTCTTTGAGCTCTCTCAAATCCTAATCTTCTGGATTCGTCAGTACCTCTACCTTTGTCTTCCTAACCTTATCTCACTGAATTATACTTCTTGAATAATATCTTCAAACCCTAGTCTTCTTCATTACCATTAATACCTCTACTACCTTTATCACTATGGGAATTGATTTAACATTTGCGTCTGTGTGCTAATGTGATATGGCAACCTGAACTTATGTACATACGTACGTAGTTCTACGTTGTAACTGATTGACTGACTGTTTCCCAGATGTTTATGAAAATTATTATGCGTAGTGAAATTCCTCAAGAAAATCATACGGTGACTTGCACATGTTGGAATTCATGAATTTTAATAATGAGTGATGTATGAGTTTTGATCGACTAAAATGAATAAATAAAATGCCTAACAGTAGATAAAATACAGTGGCACTATGTGGCCATGTAAAATAGATGCTCAAGTGACCGAAATATTGATGGTAAGCTTTTAATGAATAGAGATATCAAAAACTAAAAAATACAGACAGTAGAAGTGTTTTCAACAAGTTAACTTATTTGTTAGTCAGTCAACAACAACATAGAACTTGGTACGTAGGTACATCAGTTCATTTTGCCATACCATATTAAGCACAGAGAGATGGAATTGTCAATTCAAGTCCCATAGTAGTGTAGAGGTAGTAGCAATAGTAGCGGTAATCGATAAAATTAGTGTTCGAAGATGTTGTAACGCTCCCTTGAATAATTCCCAGCTAATTCCCATTGCTTAGTATTCTCTGACCACACAATACACTGGACAAGTTCCAAGAATCAAAAACACGGTTGAACAGGAAAAGATTATATTCCAAATAGCAAGGTTAAACGGAAATAAGAAGCCAAAGGTGATGGCGAAAGCGAAGGCGAAAATACTTACAACGTTAGTTTATTTATAGCATTTACATCAGAAGCTTCTGGACAGAAATTCATGTGATCGACTGGATTAGATTTAACCAATCAGCATGTAGCTAACAGTACGAGAATTTTCTACCCTGTTCTCCAAGAGTCGATCAGGCGCTGATTGGATAGAAAATTAGCCAATCAACGCGTAGCAACGTAGTCAAGCTTTATTCCATCTATGTCCCCCTAACAGAAGATATGATTCGAGAAGTATATTTCAGTGAAATAAATGTAACGAGAAAAAAGGTGATGAATGGATGCGCATGCGTCACTGCAAATGATTTTGAGCAATGTGATTGAAGTCCTCTAAGCATTGGTTACTATTTTCTGGCGGACCGGGACTCGGTAGTCTATACCTACGAGCATCATGACTCAATCGAGTTGTCAGTGACTTGATGGATTTGTGTATCATGTTTTGGTGTGGATCACTGATGCCTCGATGTAGTAACCTAGATGTATTTAACGAGTAAAATAAATAATAGTAAATTATGTTGAAGTAGTTTCCCCTAGCTTTTTTCCAACCTACCCTTTTATAAGACAACGTGGCTTGTTGAGGTAGTCAGTGATTGTGTTTGCGTGACATATGTCCTAACCAAATGATTACAATAAACATGAATGATTTGGTTTTCATCAGGTTGACTCATTTTTTCTACAAGTACGAATGATCGACATTTGCTTGCAAGAAAAGTACACTGTTGAATATTTCGATTTGTACTGCATCACTGGTGTAAGGTGTTTTCTTGAGAAGTGAAATATGTGCTTCGATCAAATGAATCTGATCAATGTTATTTTGAAAGTGTTACTCACTCAGAGTGGAACCACTTAAGTCATCCTGGAAGTTAAAGCATAAAACTCTAGACAAAAAAAATACCAGTTGATTATTAAGATATGCAAACTTCATTCAGTTGATGGGTTGGGCATTGTGTTACTCATCATATTTTCATTTTTATACACAAAATCACTGTTAGACGTAAATATAAATTAAAAAAAATAAAGCCGGAAATAGCATTGCTTAGCTAACGGAGTAGTTAGTTAGTTATCCTATGTTATCAGAGTGGATGATGTTCAGCAACTCCGTTCATTCAATGAGAGTTGCGTTATTATCACGATTTACTACTAAAACAAACTTATTTCCTATTGCGGGACACCCGAGTAAGCAATGTTGTTATTAGGAATCGGGTGCTAGGTAAGGATGGCAGATCAGTAGATGAAGTAATGAAACTTCATCAGTTGAGGTGGTTGGGACATGTGTTACGTATGCCTAACCACCGACTGCCTCGACGAGCGATGTTTTGTGGTGTAGGAATAGGTTTGAAGAAAGTTAGGGGCGGCCAGACCAAAATATGACAGAAATCCATGAAGTCATTGACGAATGGACTTAGCCATGTCGGTAATTGTCGACTACCTGGTTGGGGTCCGCGAGATGATAATAATCGATGGTTAGAGACCTTGAATGACATGACTCAAAATCATTAGCAATGGCGCCGGTGCATTTATTCTTTGTGTTTTCTCAAATCCTAATCTTCTGGATTCTTCAACACCTCTAGTTTTGACTTTCTAAACTTTTCTCACTGAATCATACTTCTTGAATAATATCTTCTAATGCTAACCTCTCCGATTACTTTTAATACCTTTACTACCTCTTCTACTATTGTATTTGAATTGACAGTTACATCTCTGTGCCGATGTGGTATGGCAACATGAACTGATGTACTTACGTATGAAGTTCTACGTTGCATCTGATTGACTGATTTCCTATTGCAGTATCATAGTAAACCGCAAATGATTCACCCTTTTTCATTATTCATAATATTTTCTAACAAGTTGAATATTCCATATGACCATTGTAGTGTGTGATAACTAATATTATTAGTAGAAAGCACATTAAAATAACCTCATCTATAGTATTGAATATATGTATATTTTTAAAAAAATCTTTGCTTACAGTCTTCAACCAATTCCGGTCCTTTATCATCTTCAAGTTCCGCTGGTTCTACAGGACCAGAATCCACTGGATCACCAAATTATCGTATATTAATTCATGCTGTATTAGATGCAAAAAAATCGGCACTTCTTAGATCTCCATCTGTTGTGCACTTTTTGACTAGTCAACAACGTTCACTCACTGAATATAAACGTCAAACAGAGCTATTTTGTGTTACAATGAACAGATGAAAAAATTAATGTTAAATCTTGATATTTTTTTGGACAAATTCATGTTGATGTTTTTTGTGTTTTGTCTTTTTTATGTTATTATTTAGTTATAATAAAAAATATAATATATTCAATTTAATTATTTTGATTTTAAATGTTTAGTGTTTTATTTCTATGTAGAAATTTCTTATACTTAATTCTTTTTATTGTCTTGAGGGGAGCAATAACCAAAAAAAACTGATCAGAATAACACGAATTCATCTGATTTCGTTAGATTCTTCAGTCAGTCAGTCAGATGCAACGTAGAACTTTGTACGCAAGTACATCAGTTCATGTTGCCATACCTTATCAGCACAGAGATATAATTGTCAATTCAAATCCAATAGTAGAAGAGGTAGTAAAGGTAGTAGAAGTAATCGAAGAGGTTAGGATTAGAAGATATTATTCAAGAAGTATGATTCAATGAGATAAGTTTAGAAAGTCAAAATTAGAGGTGTTGAAGAATCCAAAAGATTAGGATTTGAGAGAGAGCGCAACGAATGGATGCACTTGTGCCATTGCAAACGATTTTAAGGCAAGTCGTTCAAGGTCTCTAACCATTGGTGACTATCGTCTCGCGGACCTCAACCAGATAGTCTACATCTACCAACATGACCCAGTCCACTTGTCAGTGACTTCATGGATTTCTGCCATGTTTTGATTTGGCCGCCCCTAACTTTCTTCCAACCTACTCCTACACCACAAAACAGCTCGTCGAGGCAGTCGATAGTTAGCCATACGTAACACATGTGCTGCATCGGGGAATTTTGCTTCTTCCTTTATGTATGTTGAGACCTACTGCTGCTACACTGGTCGTCTTCTCTTACATTTGTTGTTGCGTGTGAGATAGAAGAGCCAGGTCATCTGCAAAGTCCAGATCGTGCAGCTGCGTCCTAACTGTCCAGTTGATACCGTGCTTCCCTCCAGATGTCGACGTCTTCATAATCCAATCGATCACCAGGAGACTTACTTACTTACTTAAGCCTGTTACCCCCAATCGAGCATAGGCCGCCCGCCATTTTTCTCCAACCAACTCTGTCCTGGGCTTCCCTCTATAGTTATGTCCAATGTTTGTTCATTCCTCTCATATCTTTCTCTATTTCTCGGCGTAGTGTGTTCTTTGGCCTTCCTTTTTTCCTTTTGCCTTGAGGGTTCCATGTGAGGGTTTGAAAAGGATGATCGATCTGTGGTGTATTTTTGAATATTGATTACTAAATGACAGGTTACTACTGACTTAAACAAAGGACGAAAACTGACAAACAAAATATTAACTTCCTATTAATTTGAAACGAATTACATAAATTTTCGTTTAGACTATTACATGTATACAACTAAGGATTATTCTTTCGTGTTTGCAAACAGAAAGACTACAATTAGTTACCCTATGGCAAAATGCAGTTGTGTTCATGAAACATTGCAATCTTGTTCTTGTAAAGCAATTTACTTAGTGAAGAAAGTGTACATTCTCCATAAATCGATAACTAGTAGGGAAATTACAGTATACTTTTGTCTTGTTCATAGCTCACTCATCCAATGTGTTTTCAGCAAAGCAGCAATATCATGTAGGTTTCTGTTAGGATATTCACTAAATATCCTACGAAGAATCATTTTGTAAGTTAAATTCTATTGGTCAATATTATGGTCGTTCTAGCTATCAATGTTGTTTCTTGTTGGTCATTCTGACTATCAATATCACTTCAAATGTTTTTTCCTATTGGTCGCCTTAACTGTTGATGTCACAGACTTCCATGCTGTTTCCTATTCGACCTAAATGTATAAGTACGCATTATCTGTAAAGTTTTATGACCCGGATCCCTAGTCCGGGATCCTGGTTTTCTTCTGGACTTGGACCTCGTACTTTCTGGATGTTTGTACAATACAGGTTCTATTTCATAACAAGTATTCTTTTACTCAGTGGGGGTTGGGACATTCGAATTAGAGTGGCATGTGTTGCCGGATCCTCGCTCTCGTTTTACGACTAAGGTAAACTCGTAATAATCCAAGCGTATCAAAATGACATGTTTACGTGCATGCGTAACAGTTTCACATCCTAGACCCATAGATGGGAAAACTAAGGACTAATAGATCAGGTAATGTTGTTGCATATATTACAATATAGATTCAGATATTGGGACCAAAATCTTGTTGAAGCATCGTTGTTTTCCGATATAAGGGGCACAAACAGTCCAACTTGGAAACATAGTCGTCAGATTTCAACGTTTTAAAACAAATTCTCGTGACGTTTTGAACATTTCAGATCATATTGACTAATGTTTAGTCTCCTAACCCGTTTCCTATTGGAATCAAAACAACTTTTGATTATCTTCAGATGAAATTGATAGGCTGGCAAGTTGACGACAAACAGCCTGAATGTGCGCTTCAAATATGCAACAATGACTGATTCATATGGAATTTCATATCCGTGAATTGATTAAAGTCAGACAATAACACCGCTAGATACCGGCTCAGTGGTCCAGAGGTTAGGCGTTCGCGCAAGACCGAAGGTCCTGGGTTCGAGTCCTGCGAGGTGCAGGAGTCGTGAATGTGCACTGATGATGAATCCCATACCAGGTCAAAACGGACGTCCTGTGCTTCCAGGTTTCTAATGGTAGTCTAACATTGATCAATTCATGATTTCAAATGTGATTAGTATTCGTCATTGGTAGAGTATTAGAGTCATAATCTGAAAACCGAATAGACGTGAAATACTTAATTTCTGAATCAAACTACATTTTCGAACAAAGGTATTGATGCATAGAGTTCAACAAATCAGTAGTCGGATTCCAACTAATAGACTCAAATCAACAGTCAATATTTGCATAATTACTAGCAACAGACTACAACATGATAGTACAAACTGTATTCATACTGTAGTGAAGGAGAACACAGGTGAGGGCAACCGAATTGTATTTACCTCAAATTACAGAGTTAATTGGTAAAATAGGAAAACCATATCGTAACCGTTTATTTGCAAATCTTCAATCCATTGTCTGACATTTCACTTATTGATGCGTTTCATACAAATTCCATTGTGTTCCCACTCTTCCTTTCTTGATCTTACTCCATCTTCTGCTGCCAGACATTACGTTTTTACTCGCGTCATATACTACTTATAAGTAGCGCGCACCACAATACTAATGATAAAATTATGTTGGTGTTGATGATTGCATAAGTATTAGTGATAGAAAAGATTAAGGACCGTTGACAAGAATTGAGGAAATTTATATCAGTGAAAAAAGAGTGTGGTGAATTCAAAAGCTTAGAATTGAGGGGAGGACAAAACAAACGACTTTAAGCCAAGACATTCAACATCTCTAGTCAGCGTTTACGTTTATCACACTCCCCAACAAGGTAGTCTACGCCTATTAACATCGCTCAGTCTAACTGTCAGTAACAGCACAGACCAGTGCAGTGTCTTCGCCAGACCATTCCTAACTTCCTTCCAAACTACTTCTACACCAAACATCATCGACAACCGAGGTGGGCGGTGGCTGGGCATAGGTATCACATATTTCACTAATTCGTCGATTAACTTTCCTTCCTAATCTAGAATCCTATTTCTGTGGTGGTGTTTCGTTCTCTAAGCTGGTTGTTTTGGTTGTGGAGCTTTCATTGTTCTTCTTCTGAACAACATCATCAACACAAAGTTCATATAAAAGTGAAGCATTCGAATTTCTCCATGTTTGACCTGTAGCTTGTTCTGCTAACCTCGATCTTGATTGGTTGCTGTTGACCTTTGACCTGTCGAGTTAGTGGTACTATGGTTTGCCTTATTTCTTGTTGAGTTTCTTCACTTATTCCTGCCGTTTTGAGCGATGACTCTAATGCCGCGAAGTTTTCCAGTTTTGAAGCGTCCTTCGTGTTATAGTTTAATCCTTTTTGGAGCAGTTGTACTTCTGTTGTTATTAGATGTTGCTTCGATAGGTTGACCACATTTTCGAACAATGTGTTCTGCCAACAAGCGTTCGAAAATGGGAAAACTTCGCGGCATTAGAGTCATCGCTCAAAACGGCAGGATTAAGTAAAGAAACTCAACAAGAAATAAGGCAAACCATAGTACCACTAACTCGACGGAAGAGAGACAACAACCAACTAACAGCACAACAACGAAAAGCTCTAAAGAAACTCAAAATCAGAGAAGATATGGTCATAGTTCCAGCAGACAAAGGATTCACGACAGTAATCATGGAGGAATATATCAAGAAAGCCGAGGATCTACTTCGGGACAGAAGCGTATATAAACTGGTCGACACAAACCCTATAAAAAAGTTGGACAATCAAATCTCAAGGACTCTAAATAGGCTTGTCAAAGCAGGACAAATCTCAAAACAAGATCAATGGAGAATGAAATCCAATGGACCAACAATTCCACGATTCTACGGTAGGCCAAAACTCCACAAACCTAACATCCCACTACGTCCTATTGTATCCCTCCCCGGAACCCCGACCTACAACTTATCAAGAGAAATTTCAAGGATATTAAAACATCTGGTGGATGAATCCAACTACTCCATTAAGTCTGCCACAGAATTCTTGGATAAACTCAAGAGGATTCAAATTGACAACGACGAAATGATGATATCCTCCGACGTAACAGCTGGAGAACATCTACAATCAGATCAACAACGTCTTTGATGACATCAAATTCACGATGGAAAAGGAATCAAACAAAAGCCTATCATTCCTGGATGTACTAATCACCAGAACTAACACAGGAAAACTAGAAACTCAAGTATTTCGGAAGCCAACCCACACCGACGTAATTCTCAACTACGACAGCAACAACCCAAGAACACACAAGATTAACTGCATACAAACTCTGTTCAAGAGAGCGAAGACACACTGCAGCACATACGAAACATTAAAAAACGAGGAAAAACACCTGATGACTATCTTCCAGAAGAACGGCTATCCACGCAACTTCATCAGAAAACATCAACCGAAACCATCATCAACAGCGAAATCAAGCACAGGAACAAATAAACGCATCATTTTACCATACATCAAAGACATATCGGAGCATACAGCATGACTACTGAAACCATTTCGAATAGGCGTGGCACACAAACCAACAGAATCACTTCATTCAATCCTATGTAGACCAAAGGACAAAATGACAAAGGAAGAAAAACCAAATATCATCTACAAAATAAATTGCTCAAACTGTGAAAAACACTACATAGGACAAAGTGGACGACCTCTTCAGCTCCGTTTACGTGAACATCAATTAGCAGTCAAACGCCACGACAACGCTTCGCTTATATCAACACACACCGACAATTATGGACACACATTTGATTGGGACGTTTTAGAAGCTTGGCACTCAGGTCAGTCAGCAATGAACAAACACATCGACATTGACCCAATTTATCAATCATTTAGGAAAGTCATAGGTAACATAGGATCAAGAAACAGATCAAAAGGAGGATGCAATCAAAACAAAGTTGCAAACAACGACAGGTCAAAGGTCAACAGCAACCAATCAAGATCGAGGTTAGCAGAACAAGCTACAGGTCAAACGTGGAGAAATTCGAATGCTTCACTTCTATATGAACTTTGTGCTGATGATGTTGTTCAGAAGAAGAACAATGAAAGCTCCACAACCAAAACAACCAGCTCAGAAAACGAAACACCACGACAATCATCCACCTGAGCTACAAGTTTTCTCCACCATCTCAAAATCCTTTTTCTGAACGTACGGAGTTAAGACGTACTGGAATACGTTTATTAGAAGGCGATTTATTCATGATAAATGTACTCTTAGGATCGATCCACCTATTTTCAATCTCAGCAGGTTATTGACTGCTCTTTCTCACTCCTTTTCGGTCTTCAAAATATTTTGATCGGTCCATGCATTTCGGCCTTCTCATACAGGCGTAGTTGAGTCTCATACTACTTATAAGCCATTTTGTGAGTAGTATCCATAACAATAAGCCATGTATTGTTAACTCAGTGGTCTCGAAAGACCTGATCAATGCTTCAAATACACCTATGACTAAATATCAGTAACCGACGAATATTTTCTGTTTTTAATGTCTGTGTTTAAAACCTGTGAAGTGTGATGGAGCAAACTGAACTCATCTTTTGGCTAACAGACGGATATCTCTCCTACGCCATAGGTGTTGCAAGTTGGCAAAAACCAATCAAGCCTTCTGTGTCCGTGCTAAGATTTCAACACATACCAGACCATCAAGACTAATGTGACTCTCGAGATAAGTGAAGCGATCGACACACTCAATTATTTTACTCTCCATCACTAATTTAGGTACCGACGCAAGCCAATCCTCAAGCGACATTTTGCACTTCGACAGGCAGAATCTCATGCCCAACATGCATGCATTGTTGCTTAGGATGGTCAGAAGACTCTGCGTTTTGTCGGCGTCTTCACCAAATATAATCATATCATCGGCATATTCTAAGTCAACCAGTGAATTTCCTGGTAAAAGTCAGATGATGGAAGTGTCGTATCTGAAAGAACGTTAATGGTAAAGTTAATCAAGAATGGAGAATGTGGAAAACCCTGATGAACGACACTTGAAGTAATCAATTTTGTTGACAGTTAGCCATATGCTCTGACTCGATCAGTTGTATTCGAGTAGAGAGCCTTCTTCTTCGGTACTCCTTAGAATGATAGACAACAACACAGAACTTCACGATCAGTAGAGTCAAACGCCTACTTAAGGTCCAGGAAGGCAACTATTGTAGGACGCCTAAATGTGTGTCTGTTTCAGGACCTGAAGAAGTATAAATATTTCGTCGATAAATCCACGTTCAGGTCTGAAACAAACCTGGTTTTCTCGAGCTTTAGTTAGGCATCGAAGTATTATTGAAGGTAATAGTTTAGACATTACGTTATGCTGATTCTTGTATGACTGACTGTCAAAAGACGACTTTTCTCCTTTCTTATAGACTGAGACAATCAGCGATCGAGATCAGTCTGATGGGATTACTTCTAGTTCCCAGATTCTAACTAAGATCTCAGTTAATCTAACTGCTAATCGTGAACAAGATGATCTCGTGTGTTTTTAAGAGACCAAATGCACGAAACGAACTAAAGCTCACTAAATTATCAAGTTTCTTAACTGATGATATATCAATAGAAGATAAACTGATACTCTCACAAATATATTATTAAGTCACCATTGTTCATGTATTATCAATTCGGATACAACAACCCTAATCACCTTAAGCAAAATCTGATACCATGTACATATAGACATGTGGTGGACATGGTGTATAAAATAAACACTGATAAGCACAAGAAACAATAAATGTTTGAAAACTAAACGTCATTTACCATGTCGACATAGTAGTAATGAATACATTCAGCAAGAGATATAAACTCATTGGGGTATGAGGGCGGTTGTCACTTCCCGGCTGCCCACACCGTGGAAGGTTGTTTCTTGAGGAACCTGAAAACGAAGGTAGATTAGTGTTGGTCTGAACGACCTGCGAGCGTGACTGCAGAGCCCAAGGGACAACTGCTTGAGGCCGGTCACGCACTCCCTTTTGACGAAAGGTTTTTTGAGTGTTAGCTCCGCTCTTGAAAGCCCTTATTGGGCACCCTTACCCAAGGAGACGGAAATCCGTGAGTTAGGGGAGGTGTGACACTTTTAGGGTCGACCTTTTCTAACCCTTCCTTCCTTGTGAGAAGGTAGCATCGCTGCAGATGCTGGTTGTCCGAAGGAAACACCTTACTGCTGTCACACCCCTCCATCACAGTCAGTCAGCAGTACGACTTCGCCCTCAGACCTTGATTAGCTGCTTTTAGTCTCATCGCTCTCTAATCGACCTGCCTGGCATGGTAGAACCTTCAGGAACATATGTTCCAGCCAATATAGCTCGGTTGGGTCATCACGATAGGCAAGCCCGACCACCACGTCAAGGTAACAGCTTCTGTTGGGGATATAAACTCATAGGCGTAGAAAATTCTTCCAAAAGTACACAACATTGGAGGGAAATAATCAATCAATTACAATTATTAATTAACCAAAAGGAGAATGTAAATCATAACGGAATAATTTTAAAGTTATTGCTTTTATCATTCATCAATAGATCTAGAAATTCACAATCATATTATTAATATTATTATTATTTAGAAAATTAAAACAATTGACCGCAGAAAAATAATGTAAATAATTTTGAAATTGACACTAAAAAATATTGTTGAGCATAATATTCCGCATGTAAGGAAGATAAACACACACACACACACACAGGAGAGGAAAAATGATACATGATGCATAGTATACACTACTTACACATACAGATTCACTGGATCGTTTAATGTTGTTTAAAAAAAAAAGAAAATAACTAAAAAAGTAACAAGCGTTGACCTGTGTGGTCAATTAAAAAAACAAATCACTCTTATGACACAAATTAATATCACAGAAGCACAACAGATAGATTATCACAGTTCCATGAATTATTTCACGAGACATTCGTTTGATGATCATCATGATATTCATTTTGTTCTTGAGTATTATGATTTGCTTCATAATGATGTTGTTCATTTTCCATATGTGCACAATATGAATAAATGCCATACAATACACGTAGAACAGCATTACTATCACCTGAAACAATTTCTTCAGGTTTAGCTGGTGGTTCAATCATTCCAGCTGATTGAATCAGTTCAAAAGCTAATTTAACATTTGATAAACATAATTCTTCTGTTGTTGCAGTTGGATGATAGGCATGAAATGGTACAAAATAACCTTCAATAAGACCCATTAATAGAATAAGTAGAACACCATCTCTAAACTAATGAATTGATACGAGAATAAAAAAGGAAATGCGTGTGAATATTCCTCATTATCGATGAAGTATAAAGTTAAAGATAATAATAATAGATTTTTGGCCAGACCAAAACATGGCACAAATCCATGAAGTCACTGACTAGTGGACTGAATCATGTTGGTAGATGTAGACTACCTGGTTGGGGTCTGCGAGATGAAAGTCACCAATGGTTAGAGACTTTGAACAACGACATGGCTCAAAATCGTTTGCAATGGCGCAAGTGCATCCATTCGTTGTGCTCTCTCAAATCCCAATTCGTCAGCACCTCTACGCTTTTGTCTTTCTAATCCTATCTCACTGAATTATACTTCTTGAATAATATCTTCAAAGCCTAGTCTTCTTCATTACCATTAATACCTCTACTATCTCACTCAGAATGGGATTTGATTTGACATTTGCGTCTTTGTGCTAATACGGTATGGCAACATGAACTTATGTACATACGTACGTAGTTCTACGTTGCAACTGACTGACTGACTGAAAAAAAAATTTAGCAACTCAATAATTAAGCAACAGAGACACCTGTATAATAATAATAACACTGAGTTGGAATTATTGTATGAACACTTGTAATACGAGTTAATTCGTTTGACCATTTTTTTTCAGCAGTAAACTACATTGATGAAATTAATCATAGTTTAAATAAATAGTAATAAAAACTTACAATTTATTGTTTATGTTAATGTTATTCTAGAATTATTGATCATTAAAATATCAATATGGCTACTGTCTGATAAAAATGGATTAACGGTTAACGAATTCAATGTTAAATAGAATAAATACACGTTTGAAATCATCAATCAATCATTATTAGACCACCATTAGAAACCTGGAAGCACTGAAAGACGCCCGTTTCGTCCTGGTATGGATGGGACTCATCAGCAGTGCACATCCACGACTCCTGCACCTCGCAGGATTTGAACCCAGGACCTTCGTTATTGTGTGCGAACGCCTAACTATTGGACCACTGGGCCGGCATTTAACGGTGTTAATATCTAACTCTGATTGGTCTAGGGATTTTCCGCGCGACAGTAACTACCGAAGACAAATGGGTGAGGTCGCGCAATACGGAAGGCCCGGATTCAAATCCTGCGAGGTGCAGGAGTCGTGGATGCGCACTGCTGATGAGTCCCATTCATACCAGGACGAAACGGGCGTCTTCAATAGTGTTGTTTAATCGAATGAAGGATTCAGTAGATGCCAAACTTTGAGATCAGCAGATTACATTCTGTGAGAACCCATCATGTATCGACCTATTCGCCACACTACGGATCATTGTGGAATAATTAATTGAATGGAATTCATCACTGTACGTCAAGTTGATTGACTACGAGAAAGAATTCGTCAACGTGGAGAAGAGGATGGCACTATGGAGATGTCTTCAAAACTACGATGTACCTGAGAGGATTGTCGTTTTCATAAGGAAATCTTATGATAGATTAAGCAGCAAGTTCATGCATGGAGAACACCTCATTCCAATTGAGAACTAGAAACAAATAAAGTTGCCTACTCTCATCTTTTTCCTGGTGGTCGAGTGTATTAGGAATACGTAACATTCCAGTGGGAGCACAGAATAAAGTGGATATCTCAGAAGGAGCTGGACTTCGCAGGCCATCTAGCCCTTTTATCTTACACAACATGTGCAGGTGAGGACGGCAAATGTAGCAACAACCACTGCAGCAGTAGGTCTCAGCATACATAAGGGAAAAAGTAAGATCCGCCGATACAATACAGCATGGATTAACCAAATCACACATGACGCAGAAGCTCTGGAAGATAGATGGATTTCATTCCAAGCTGCCTCGGGATGGACATCACTTACATGGCTCTTACATTGCTCTCGAAATACACTGTCGGCTTTGTTATCATTAAGCAGAACTTTGAGGGGTTTCCTTGATGTGTTTTTCTTACGTTCATTTAGGCGTAAACAATTAGGCAAATACGGTCAACGTTTTTTAACCCCTTACTTCCTTGTGAGAAGGCAGCATTGCTGAGTGAAACACCTTTCTGCTGGTATACTCCTTTACAATCAGCAATACGACTTCGCCCTCACCCCTTAAAATACTGCTTTCAGTCTTACTGTTCCCTAATCGACCTGGCTGGTATGGTAGAACCTAAAGAATTATTTGTTCCAGACAATATATAGCTCGGTTGGGTCGTCACAATCAACAAGCCCAATCACCACGTCAAGGTAACAGCTATAGTTGGGAAAATACAAAGAATCAGATTTCAGTAGTAATCAATGCAAAAAACTCACTTCTTTGGAAAGATCACTAACATGAAAGCCAACTTGTCCCAAATGTGTATTGATGAATGTAAGAACTGCTTGCATAACCATATGATGTTCTGATATGGCATCAAGAGGATTGCCAGCTTGAAACATGAAAAAAAATAATTCATTAAGTGAACAAATAAAAATTTATCTAGTTCTTGGCAATCACTCATTAAGTACTTTTATTTGTAAGAAAAATACTAATCAACTTAAGACAGATAGATGAATAAACAAACAGTATGCAAAGTAGCAATTACATGAAGATTCGTTTATTCAGCTATGAGCTATGTCAGTCAGTCAGTCATTATGAAAGTAAAACATTGTATATCGTGGGACAACCGAGTGAGCAACGCTGTTATTAGTAAACGGGTGCTAGGCAAGAATGGCAGATCAATAGATGAAGTAATGAAACTTCATCAGTTGAAGTGGTTGGGACATGTGTTGCGTATGCCTAACCACCGACTGCCTCGAAGAGCTTTGTTTTGTAGTGTAGGAATAGGTTGGAAGAAAGTTAGGGGCAGCCAAACCAAAACATGTCAGAAATCAATAAAGTCATTGACAAGTGGGCTGAGTCATGTCGGCAGTTATCGACTACTTGGTTGGGGTCCGCGAGATGATAATACTCGATGACATGGCTCAAAACCGTTTGCAATGGCGCCGGTGCATTTATTCTTTGTATTCTCTCAAATCCTAATCTTCTGGATTCTTGAACACCTATAGTTTTGACTTTCTAAACTTTTCTCACTGAATCATACTTCTTGAATAATATCTTCTAATCCTAACCTCTCCGGCTACTGCTAATACCTTTACTACCTCTTCTACTATTGGATTTGAATTGACAAGAAGAATATGATGAACAATATTGAAAGCAGTGAGTAACCAAACATGGTAAAGACAGTCCAAAAGGAAACGACACTTAGCTTAAGACTTAAAGAAAGACAAACAATTAATATAATTGCGCCTCTGGAACCGATTTCCTGCCATATCACCCAGTTCCAGATATGGCTCCAACACAGCAAATGACTTCATGAACTGATGCTATAACTTGACTTTCACACCTATATAGTTTCGCTCCAACCGATTCGTATGTCAAACAATATCATATTTTGGGGTTAGAGGTGGTTATTCATGGGAAACACTAGTTCTGTTTATTTTGATCCAAAGATTACATACTTCGCAAAAGACTTAATATTTTACACACTACCCTATGTCTAACTTTATCATTACACCATGGGCTGTTTTATGAAACACTGGCCATGATTCAGCGACATTTACACTCAGATATTTTTAGCTCACATACTCCCTAAACTTTCACCAGCCATCGTTTATAATAGTATAGAATAGACTGTCGAGCACTATTCGCCACCCATATCATAGATGACGCAAGTCAGTAAAATCAAGGAAAAATTTCTGTACTCGAGCCAAGATACCAACCTACCTTGTTGGGTTGGTGAGATTAATGATAGATGAAGTGGTACAATCTTGAAAACAACGTTACAAATCCGTGCAGATTATTCCTAAAAGAATACTATATTTACGAGGAAAATGTTTTTCAAGCATTCATGTAATGTAATGCAAGGTTTTTCGAAAATTGTATTTTGTCAAACAAAACAATTTCTTGTATTTCAAGTTAATAAGCAAGTTTTCTGTTTGGACATTAATCCCTTGGAAGTTAGGAGAATAAAGTGTTAACGTTAAAAAATTAAATAAAAAATGGAGAAAGTACGCCGGCTCAGGGAACATGACCTTAGATTATCAACTCATATACCATAAGTTTGAGTAAAACACCTTCGCAAGGTTTAGATACTTAGTTAAGTGAGTACATAGTCCACATATCCATGTCCACGTCTGAAACTAACCCGGTTTTCATGGGACATTTTTCCGAGGATTTAATAATTTAATAAGGATTTCGAAGAGCAAGTGGCCTTCCTTTTTGGGAAAACACAGAGAATAGATGCATCAGAGCCATCGCAAACGCTTTTGAGCGTGTAACTCAAAGTCTCTTATCATCGGTTACTATTTTCTCGCGAACCCCAACTTGGCAGTCTAAAATTACCAACATGACTCAGTCCGCTTGTCAGTGACTTCATGGATTTCTGCCATGTTTTGGTCCGGCCGACCCTAGCTTTCTTTCAACCTACTCCTACATCACAAAACATCACTCGTCTGGGCAGTTGTCAGTGGTTCGATTTTTAAAGTATTTCAGTTCCTAGAGTAAAACATAATGAATACTAGTTTGTTCAATCTCCTGAAGAAAGGGGCAAGATACAAATCTTAACTCTAAGCTTAATGTCATACATTGATGAAGTTTACTAAATTACTGAAACTTAAACCTGTCAGAATTCAGTTCAGATCGGAAATTTCCTATTTATCGAAAATTTTTTAACTCCATGAATTCATATTTTTCTATTGAATTATGTTGTCTATTCCTTTATATTTCTTACAACCACAGAGAGACAGACAGATACAACGCAGAACTTCGTACGTAAGTACATCAGTTCAGGTTGCTATGCCCCATCAGCACAGAGACGCAACTGTCGGTTCAAATCCAAGAGTAATAGCAATAGTAGAAGTATTAGCAGTAATAGAGAAGATTGGGGTTCGAAGATATGACTGGATAGGTACAATTCAGTGAGATGATGAGGAATTCTGAAGGTTAGAATTTCATAGAACACAAAGAATGAATGCATCTGCGCCATTGCAAACGGTTCTGAGCCATGTCGTTGAAGGTCTCTAGCCATCGGTTACTATCAGTTCGTGAACCCCAACCACGTAGTCTACACCTACCGACATAACTCAGTCCACTTGTCAATGACTACAAGGATTCGTGCCATGTTTTGGTCTGGCCGCCCCTAGCTTTCTTCCAACCTACTCCTACACTACAAAACATAGCTCGTCGAGGCAGTCGGTGGTTAGGCATTCGTAACACATGTCCCAACCACCTCAACTGATGAAGTTTCACTACTTCATCTATTGATTTGCCATCCTTACCTACTACTCGTTTCCTAACGACAGCATTGCTTATATGGTTGTCCCATGATACACGAGCAATGCTTCGGAGACATCGATGATCGAAGACTAGTAACCTACGGAAGTCCTCTACCCTTAACGGCCAAGTCTCGCATCCGTACAGTAGGACGGAGCGAACTGCTTCACAGTACACTCGTCCTTTGGTTAGCAAACGGATATCTTGCCTGAGCCATAGGTGACGCAGGTTGGTAAAAGCCAATCGAGCCTTCTGTATCCGTCCTGAGATTTCATCAGTCACCAGACCATCAGCAATGATGAGACTCCCCAGATAAGTGAAGCGGTCGACACGCTCAACTACTTCACTCCCTATCACTAGTTCAGGTGCCGATGAAACCCAATCTTGGAGCAACATTTTGCATTTCGAGGGGGAAAACCGCATCCTGGACATGCTTGCATTGTTGCTTAGGGTGGTTAGAAGACTCAGATACTGTTATTATTTACACTGCTATGGAATTTCGATGTTCTAATATATAGTGCACCAACTTGAACCGAGGTACTCATGTACAGGTTTTACACGGCATGTGACTAGTAAAGTGATCGTTTAGTTAAGTATATTGTTTTAGATATAATTATTTTTCATTAGATGAAGTAGAACACATGGATGCTCAATTAATTAACCCTATGATCATAGTGAGCTTTCAGAGACATTCAAGTCTTGATGACTATAAGCGTTCAACTCTAAGAAATTCGGCAAATAAATCGTTTATTTTAGAGAAACGAAAAAGCAAAAGTGATTTATTTTACAAATTCACCAAAATATCTATTGTAACTCGAACACATACTGGAAGTTACATCTATATTGACGAATGGACTTAGCCATGTC